CCCGACGCACTGTGGGCAGCACCATTCCTTGGTTTGGACTGTATAGGAAAGCTAGCCGATTCATAGGCCTTCCTGTGAGCCAGCTAACAAGCAACATGTTCCATGGTTCTTGCCCTGAGCTTCTGCCCCAACATCCCTCAATGATGGACCTAGAAGTGTAAGCCAAATTGTAACTCTTTTTTAAATTTGTTTTGGTTAGAGTATTCTGTCACAGACCAGACAGGAAACTAGAGCACTGTGGAACACAAGAACCTGGGTACTCCAACAGGTGCCTTCTGGATCCACAGAGATAACAGTTCTGTTCCCAGATTCTACCAGAGTGCTTGGCTCACAGGAGGTGTCTAATAGATGCCGGATGAATGAAACAAACCCTCATGGGATGACCCATCCCTCAGCCTTCTGTCTCCAGAGTTCAGCAGAGTGCTCAGTACACAGAAAAGGCCTCATACATGTTGCACAAACGATAAACAAAAAAAAAACGATCCAATGAATGCAAAACAAATTCCCTGACGGGGATGGGACAGGTGCTCCAGTGTCTTGGAGTGAGCCAGCAACCCAGCTGTTGGTTGGATTGTTGGATGGCAGGAGTTGTCATCATTTAGATGGCTATATTGTGTTCACTTAAAAAAAAATAGTCACACTGCTTTAGTCACACCTCTCAAAGCCTCATGACTTGAAAATGCCTTTCGGGTGGAAGACAGTTTCATAACAAACCAAGGAATGTGGTTTCCATTGGGCTATCCTTAAAAACAGTTGTTTTCCAGATGGTTCTATGAATACATAAATATCTCTTCTCTGTTTTACCTTCAGTTGTCAAGAAAGTACTACACAGAGCTAGGGCTCAAACAGTTAAGCAGCCAGCCAACTTGGCCTCCTCTTGGCCTCCTCTTGGCCTCCCCTGCCTCCCAGAAGAATGGTATGCACATAAGGTCGCCTGGCAAGCAGCCACGTTCCTATGGGAACCTTGCAGCAGGGAGAGCCTTGGGACATTAAAAAGCAAATGTGTGGGAGTTATGGGGCTCACTGCAAATGATCCAAGGCCCTGAAAAATGTGTGGAGTGTCTTTGACCCAGAGCACCAGCCCCATCTCTGTCCTTGCTCAAATCCAGGCCTGAGTGGGAACTTACACTGTCCCAGTGTTTCCTCCAGCTGAGAATATAATAGAAACTCAATAAAGGAAGGCTGGGCTGGACAGTGACTGCTCTCCTTAGTTCTCTGAAGGGAAGAGCCACACTGTTGGGAGCTTTGTTTTTTGTTGTTGTTGTTGTTTGTTTGTTTGTTTTGTTTTGTTTTGTTTGGGAGGGGGTCTTTTGTTTTGTTTTTAAATCTTTTCTTCATTAACCATTTTGATTGATTTCTATTTAAGATTCATTTTATTTTTTTATTTATATGTATGCATCTGTATCTGTATGGGGAGTATGTATACACAGTGCTCTCCAACAGCCCCACAACAAACCAGTTGTGCAACCCCAAGCCATTGTCTGCCTCAGTTTCCTCATTTGTAACATGGGGGTGATGATGATCCATCCTCTTACAAGGATGTCAAGGGGTGAGAGGAATTAAGGATTGCAGAATTACTCTACACTTTCTGAACTGGAACCATTGGAAGGGATTGCTGGGGCAAAGGAAACAACTGAGCCCTACAGCCTTTCCTGCATCTTCACTAATCTCCTCATGCGGTTTTATCTACGCCACATAAGAACTGACTTGTTCCTGTGAAAATGCTTGACTTAAACCAGGCTCAGAACATGCCGCTCCCCTCCCCGACCTGACCTCCACACAGTGCTGCAGACTCCCACGGGCTGACTATCTCGCAGTAATAATGCTCACGGAAGGAACTGTTGTATCAATAAAGGGATTTCCAGGCTGGAGAGATGGCTTCCTTGTTAGAAGCACTTGCTGCTGTTACAGACGACTCAAAACACAAGTTCAGTTCCCAGCACCCATGTCAGGGAGATGGAAACTGCCTAGAACTCTAGCCCCAAGGGATCTGCTCTCTTCTGAACCCTGTGGGCACCTGCATTCATAGGCGGCACAGGCACACCCATGCACACATAATAATTTTTAAAAATAAACCTAAAAGTAAAAGAATTTTCAAGGCATATGTGAAGAAAACTTCTGACTTCTGCAGAATACAGAAGATCTCACTGGTGAGAAGACTCAATAGCAAATAGGTATGTCTCCTTGGTTTAATTGTAAACTGTAGCTGTATATGTATATTATATATAGTATAGTACCAGGACAGTTTGTAGCTATTTTTTTTTTAAGATTTATTTATTTTATGAATGTGAGCACACAGTTGCTATGATCAGACACACCAGAAGAGGGCATCAGGATCCCATTACAGATGGTTGTGAGCCACCATGTGGTTGCTGGGAATTGAACTCAGGACCTCTGGAAGAGCAATCAGTGCTCTTAACCACTGAGCCATCTCTCCAGCCCCTTGTAGCTATTTTTAAGGTAAAAACTCAGTTACCTGTTATCTATACTGTTGAATCTTCATGTCCATGAACATAGTCTGTCTGTCCTCTCAGGCAAATCTATTTCGAGGAACATTCAAAAGCCTTCTTTCTTTCTTTCTTTCTTTCTTTCTTTCTTTCTTTCTTT